CCCTTTTTTTTTTTTTTTTGATATCCAGGTATCCACCTTACAGTGACTAAATCCTGGAGTCTACACATTGGCCCCTCAAATTGCAGACAGGTTAAACCGCAGGTTGTGCCCCACACTGACCAGTGCTCAAGAGCCCCCCTAACTGATCTGTCAAAGTGCCAAACAAGTCGTTTCCCCATTTTTGCACCTTGCCTTCCAGTAGAGCTCCTGCCTTCCAGAATAAATCCTGCCTTCCTGGAGAATATCTGCCTTCCAAGAGCCTTCCAGGAATCGAACTCACGACCTCTGATCTGCCAGTCTTGAAGCGCCCTCATCTTTGCCAGTTGGAATGTGCCTTGAGGGGCTTTTTGTCATCTTCTTTTAATGTATGGAGTTGTTGTTATGGGCCATTTCCTCGATCTCCGACCCAATTCTTGTACTATTTAGCAAAGATGAAGCTCCAGTTGTTGGCTACCGCTGTAAAAGAAGAAGAAGCTCCAATCTTCTTCCCTTAGTAAGTCAGCACCCTCATCTCTCTACTTCAACATGTATCTTTCGATAATTAGCCCATGTCTATCATCATTTAACAAATTAAATTGTTTGCTACAGTAACATTCTTCATCACGCATTCACATAATAAAATATTTTATACATAAATTAATAAAGTTTCTTTAAATTTTAACCACACATTTTCCAAAAAATACTATTCAAAATTCTTTAATTTATCTCATAATGGGAGACAAACAGGCTCTTATATGTAAGAGAAAAAGAAGCATGTTCAAATTAAAACCTATGGTTTGAAGTGATTATATTTCGCTTTATTTGCTAGTTGCTAGACTACCGATTTCTTCACACTCAATTTCACATTGTTGTGTTAGATACAGGCATATTTAGCATTTAGCAAGCATTATGCTTGACATCATTATTATTTTCGGTGTAATGACAATATTTATATCAAAATAAAATTGTTGAATTGTTATTGCCTTCTTGTCTTATTATCGAATTATTTTATCCTTGTCGTCTTATCATTGGATAGCTTGAATTGTTGTTGCTTTGTCAATTTATCGTTGGTTATTTTTGCCTTCCTAACTTTTTGTTAGAAATTGTTGTTGTGGAGTTGAATTGTTAACGTATTTACGTTGTTTCTAGCTACGAAGAAAAAAAAGGCATATGTCACATGGCATATCTGCATGGTTCTTTGATTAGAGGAGCTTTAGTAGAATAGGTATATATTTGTCGCATGACATGTAGGCCCATGGACCTTTTGTGGCTCACGTGACGTTTTGTTTGATTAACTCATCTAATTTCTTTTCTCATTATTTAATTGATAATAGATTTAGATTGATTTCAGTATTAATATTAATCCTCCAAGTTCGAGTTACATATTTATGCGAGACTAAGGATTTTGATGTTTCTACACTACTAGTGTTGAAATCGTTGGACTGTGGAGTACTAACCATTATACAATTTTTCTATCTTCTTCGAGGTAGTACGCTGAGCGGAGATCACCAAAACATGGTAATAACATATTGGCTTTCATAGATTTATGATCCATATGTGTTTCGAGAATTCTCTGTTGTTAGGTCCTAAAGTTTTATTTTGTAGTTTGGTAATTTGACCCATTTAAGAGAGACGAACTTTAGAGGCTCGACCCATGTAAGGAAAAGCAAGCCTAAATCATAAGTTAGTTTAAGCGCAAAGGGTTAAATCATTTTTAAGTTAAAATGATGTTTAGTCTAATTATCTAATATGTAACTTTGTTATAGCATAATGGTCATCTTCATAAGATTCTAGAGAAATGACTCAGGTACGAACATATTTTTCCAAAAAATGTAAAATCATGTTATTGTTATTGTTATTATTATTTTTATGACGGAGAAACCCGCGACCGCTACCCTTCGAGTGCGCAATGGGTAAACTCTCGGGCTGACGCAATAACCTACATACCACGCCAGCCAGCTAAACCATACTAAGCAAGCCCGATGCAACAGGCTCGACCGAAAAAGTGTTGGTAGAGAGAATTGAACTCGTGACCAAAAACCTTCGCGCTCACCTACTCCACCAACTCGATCACCCCATTAGGGGCAACTATTACGGGTGCAGTACAATGCAATGCAATAGTCAAATTGTATGGGTATTTCAAGGGAACCATGAGGTTCCGACATCATAAGCAAAAATGGCTCCCAATCTTGGTGGATTTATCCAGGCTTAAAAGGATCGTGCGATACAAATCATCTACCCAAGCTATTAAGTCAGAACTGAAACTGTAAATTCAATTCAAGATAACTCCAAAAGGAAAGTCGAACTTAAACCATAACAGAGCAATCTTTCTTTCAACGCCCCCTGTTTATCTAACATTCTCCAAAAAATCTTAATATGATGCTAACAACCTAGAGTCAATAACTAACTCAATCATGCTTGGTGCACATCATAGTATACACCAAATTTTACACTATGCCACGTGGCAACACACAATTGGACTGTTTAAAAGAAAAAAAGGTTTTTTCAACAAATCAAATCTTGACACCAAGGATGTTGTCAACCATGATATACAAACATTGATGTACAAGTAACTTTATTCTAATTCAATAACTACAATTGCATGATACAGTCCAAGGTCGTACTGAATATAGCATCTCATTTACAAAAGTGGCCCAATAATACTACAAACCTATCATACAAAGACAATAATGAAGAATACAGATGATAATACAGCCAGCTATTTGCAGGTATACCCAAGTAGGGAAGTGCTATAAGTACGTAATTATCTACATAATGGTGTCCATAATTACACGTAGCACTAGATCCAACATTTAATTCAAATCTCACACTTGCACATGCACATCAACAACTGGATGAGTGCCACAACACATTATAGACACCATTATATGCAATAATTATGTACAAGTAGAATTTTCCAACCAAGAATAATGTTATTCATATAATCACTTGAATCTTGAAATGTAAGGGGTGTGGTAATTTTCACATAATCGTCTTCTACACCTCTCTCTCTTCAATATCACCGTTCAATCTATCACTCTATAACCAAGTAGTGCCAAGGACATCTAGCATAATTGCAATGAGTTGATTCAGCATGCGAGATAAATTAAGGCAAAAGACAGAATCCTAACATTTCAAAATCAATCAATTCTATAAGGGGTCAATCCACTGTCTATAGAAATTAGCATTCAGGAAGGGAGCCCTCCAAATAAGAGCCACGGTAAGTGATTCAAACCCAGCCGAGAAACCTATGTGGTGCGTTCAGACTCTCACTACATCTAGAAGTGAGAAACCAATCAAACCATTTATATCACAGAAAGAATAAAAACCACTGAACAAAATTACCAAAATTAAATTTCTATGTTAATTCAAGACATAGAAGTATTAAAATCATTTAAAATACATAGCAATCTCAATACTGATGATTTAATTCCAAAACATTAAACCCTAATGGGAAACCAAAGCAGAATGTAAGAACGCTAACAAGTAAGGGCTTGGCTTAGAAGCCGAGCTTCGTGCGGCGCCAATGGCGACGCTTCGCATTGTAGCGGATGGTATTGTCAGTGCGCAGCCTGATCCAGTACGGAATTGGCCTGTTCTGCCTCTGCTTCTTCGCCAGCTTCTTCTTTATCATGAATGTCTTGTGTGACGGCTGTACATACAAATTACATTAAAAAAATCCATATTCAGAGAAAATAAAAAAGGATATTCATGTGATCACGGAGAGAGAAAGTGACCAACCATTTTCGATTCTGGAGGCGGAAAGAGCTCTCTGACTTTGCTTGTGCCAGTGAAAATGGTTGTGAAGATGAATGGCTGAAACTTATATACCCTAATTCTAAAATCGATAACTAGGGCTTCGATTTGACATAGTTGTGTCAAAACTGGCCGGATGACCCAGTTCGAGTCCGTTTATAGTTGGGCCATCATAATAGGTTACCGTGTGGGCTGGACCAATCCAGTCTAATAACCTATAAGTTATAATTCAATTTTTTTTCTTTTTATTTTTCAAAAAAAAAAAAAAAAATAGGGCAACTGACACGGGGTACCGTAAAACATTGAAAAATCATTATAAGGGGGTGTTGAAAAGATTTTTCATTTAAAAAAATTAATTTTTTTAAATGAAAAATCTTTTCAACACCCCCTTATAATGATTTTTCAATGTTTTACGGTACCCCGTGTCAGTTGCCCTATTTTTTTTTTTTTTTGAAAAAAAAAAAAAAAAATAGGGCAACTGACACGGGGTACCGTAAAACATTGAAAAATCATTATAAGGGGGTGTTGAAAAGATTTTTCATTTAAAAAAATTGATTTTTTGACCATTATTTCACTACTCCAGCGATAATTTTTGACTTTTTCTCTCACAGATGGCCCCCATTTTTCTCCTAACGGTCAAATAATCAATTCCCAAAATCTCTACTGAACAAGGCCTAAATATCAAGCATGTCGTGTGTATAGAAATATCCTATCAGAATTTTGTGAGAACACTTGACAAGTTTTTGTTGGACAATGGCAAAAAAAAGAAGAAAAAAAAAAGAAAGGTGAAATTCTGGCAAAACTGCTTGTGTACAAGCAGATAAATTCTCTAAATATACGTCAACTTACATCTTTAGAACTTATTTTTTATGTTATTTGTTGGAAAATATGAGTAAATGGCTTACTTTTGGCACAATTTTCGATTGACCCGTTGGTCCAAATTGGAAGATCAAAGTTGATTCGTATTCTTCTCCGTGAGAGCATCAAAATCATATATTTACTTGCCAAAAATGATGTTTGGGTGAATAAGAAATTCGAGCTCAAAGTTGACCATTGAAAGATGGTTATGTGGAAAAAATGAGTTTGTCCCACCTAGGAAAAAATGAAAGCAAGACCACTTTAAATATGATTACACATTAGAAGGGTGTAATCATGTGTATTGTAGGGGCTCTCTCCACGTGCGTGCGCAAGGGGTGCAAATCATAGACCGAAATAGCATTTGGGCCTTAAACTTGTGTGTGGGCACGATCTGCGTATACAAATATCTGACCAAAAGGAGCAAAAATTGGCTCATTTGGAGTGTCCACGTTTTGCAATTTTATTCTTGCTTTCTTCTCTAACTTTTGAGTTTCTGAAACTTCCAAAACTCCCACAAACTGAAGTGACTCCAATATTTATTGCCGTAGAGTTAATGGCAGATTTATCTATAAAAATTCTCATTTTCCAGCAATTCCAAAACACACGAAAATACTGCATACACAATACAGAGAAAAACTGTTCTGCATCACAATGTCGTTTAGTCTGTATGCATACATAATTTTTCTGTCAACGTCGTCTTGATGGTGATATTGTTCGGATACTAATCAGTTCGCTAGAGTAGATTCTGCAGTGCTTAGATTCCACTGGTATCCGTTGTATCCTAGGAAACAGATGCTCGAATTAAATCTCAAGTACTTACGATGAGGGGGCGAATCTGTTTTAAGGAAAATGTGCTCGCACAGGCCTCGGGTTGAAAGTTCATCCGTTATTTATATATTTCTACGATTTATTTGTGTTATTTATATAACTTGCAGTTTTATTATTTTGTCATTCCATTTATGTTTATTACAAATTAATCTGCAATCTAGTTGATCAAATTAATTTGTCTATTCTATTGAAAATTAAATCTGCTAGATTTTGTCTTATTCACTTCATAGACGGTGTTCTGCAATTTCGATACGTGTAAGTGCAAAACCTGTATCTAAAGACAATATATGCATATATGGTAGGCAGCATATACAGTATGCTAAGCTGTTGCATATACCGTATGCTGTGCAAATATGGTATGCGTAAATAAGGGTATGTTGCATGTACGGTATATATAAATCCAACATCTAAAGTTCATATACCGTATGGATGAATCTGGTTTCATCCACTATACTAAAATCCAACGAACTTAAAATAGATTCCTAAGAAAATATTGGTTTTTTATATTGTTAATGTTAATTTTAGAAACTAATTTTTTTTGTTTGACTTTCAAAAATGGTAATCGAATCGACCAACATGGATGTGACCCAAACTGTGCTTACTGAAAATCAAGCTATGGGCTCTGCTGTGCCTCAAGGACCAAGCTCTGTTGTGACTCAGACTGTGGCTAAATTGCCAAGTCATGTTATGAGTCAAAATGTGGCTTCAACAACTGGCTATACCATGAATGTTCCAGTTAATCATGGAGAAAAATCGAAGAAATTCAATAGCTTGAATTTCAAAAGGTGGCAGCAGAAAATGCTATTTTACCTGATCACTTTGAATCTTGTGAGATTCTTGACTAATACTGCTCCAAAACTCAATGAGGGTGAGGGAGATGTTCAAGCAGTCAGTGCACTTGATGCTTGGAACCATTCGAATTTTCTGTACCGAAACTATATTATGAACAACTTAGCAAACACGCTATACAATGTGTATGGTATTATGAAAACTGCTAATGAGTTGTGGGAGTTGTTGGACCGAAAATATAAAACTGAGGATGCCGAGTCTAAAAAGTTTATTGTCGGTAGATTCTTAGACTATAAAATGGTAGACTCCAAAACAGTTATCAGTCAAGTGCAAAAACTCCAAATGATTCTTCATGAAATTTATGCCAAAGAGATGATTTTGAGTAAAACTTTTCAAGTGGCTGCAATTATTGAAAAATTGCCCCCAGCATAGAAAGATTTCAAGAATTATTTGAAGCACAAACGAAAGGAAATGAACTTCAAAGAACTAATTGTTAGACTTCGAATTGAAGAAGATAACAAGAGTTATAAAAAGAAGTGGTTCAATCCTAGTGTAGTTAAAGCCAATGTTGTAGAGTTTGGTCAAAGTAGTAAGACCTACAAAAACAAGTTTGGGCCATCTGATGGCAAAAAGATCAAGCAAGGACCAAAAGGTGGAATTTTTAAGAAGAAATTTCAAGAAAAATGCTTCAATTGTGACAAAATAGGTCATAAGTCTTCGGAGTGCAGATTGCTAAAGAAGAAAAAAGAAACAAATGTAGTTAACTACATGGCACAAGATGTGTCAGAGTTGAATCTCTTAGCCGTCATTTCTAAAATGAACATGGTGGGTTCAAACTCTAAAGAGTGGTGGATTGACACCGGTGCTATGAGGCATGTGTGCTCTGATAAGGAGCTGTTTGCTGCGTTCGAAGCAATTGAGAATGGAAATAAGTTGTTTATGGGAAATTCAACAAACTTCTGAAATAAAGGTTCAAGAAAAGGTGGTTCTGAAAATGACATCGGGAAAGGAGCTGACTCTTAACAATGTGCTATATGTGCCGAAAATTCGCAAGAACCTAGTGTCTGGGTCGCTTTTGAATAAGCATGATTTTCGCATTGTATTTGAGTCAGACAAAGTTATTCTGTCGAAAAGTTGAATGTTTGTCGGAAAAGGTTATGTTTCCGATGGTATGTTTAAACTGAATGTAATGGTTGTTAAATCAAAAATGAATAAAGTAAACTCTTCTGCTTACTTACTTGAGTCTTCCAATTTGTGGCATGGTAGACTAGGACAAGTTAATTATGATACTTTACGAAGAGTAGTTAACTTGAATTGCATACCCGAGTTCCACATTGACTCTAAAAATAAGTGTGAAACTTGTGTTGAGACAAAATTGACAAGGTCATCATTTAAATCAATTGAACGAGGCATGAAACCACTTGATTTAATTCATAGTGATGTAGATTTAAAACTGGTACAAACAAGAGTTGGCAACAAGTATTTCATTACTTTTGTCGACGATAATACTAAATACTGTTATGTGAATTTGTTAACAAGTAAAGATGAAGCTATAGGGAAATTTGTTCTCTATAAGAATGAAGTTGAAACTTAACTTAATAAGAAAATTAAGGTGCTAAGAAGCAATCGAGGAGGCAAGTATAAAGCACCATTTGCTGAATTTTGTGCACAACACGAAATTATACATGAAACCACTGTACCTTATTCATCGCAACAAAACGATGTTGCTGAACGAAAAAATCGTACTTTAAAGGAAATAATGAATGCAATGCTAGTAAGTTCTGGGTTACCTCAGAACATGTGGGAAGAAGTTGTGTTATCAGCAAATTACCTTTGAAATAAGGTGCCCCGAAAGAAAATGGAAAAGACCCCTTATGAGTTATGGAAAGGAAGAAAATCTTCCTATAAGTACTTACGAGTGTGGAGTATCTTGTTAAAGTGACCGTTCCAAAACCAAAGAAGGTAAGAATAGTGCCAAAAACAATAGATTGCATCTTCATTGGCTGTGCACACAATAGTAGTGCTTATCGATTTCTTGTATATGATTCTAAAATCCTAGACATACACAAAAATACGATATTTGAATCAAGAAATGCTTCATTCTTTGAACATGTATTTCCATACAGTCTAAAGAGGAAGCAAGCTCCTCCAAACGAACATATGAGACAATGACTGAAAATAGTCATGAAAAAGAACTAGAAGAGGAGACTGAGGTTAGACGTAGCAAACTAGTAAGGACAAAAAATTGTATGGTCCTGATTTTCTGACCTATATGCTAGAAAGTGAACCTTAAAGTTATCAAGAAGCTGTAAATTCCTAGAAAGGACTTCAATGGAAGGATGTCATTAAAAGTGAAATAGATTCCATATTACAAAATCATACATGGGAGCTAGTGGACCTTCCTCCATGAAGCAAACCACTAGGCTACAAATAGATTTTTAAAAGGAAAATGAAAGCAAATGGAACTACCAAAAAGTATAAGGTTAGATTGGTAATAAAAGGCTACAAACAAAGGGAATGCCTTGGTTACTTTGATACTATTCTCTAGTGACGAGAATAACATCTATTACGGTGATACTTGTGATTCCCGCTTTGTGAAATCTTGAAGTACTTCAAATGAATGTTAAAAATACATTTTT